AAAATTTTTCTGATATACCTAGATAGGTAAGGTTATCTACACGTCGGTGAGATAAATCAGTACTGAGGACTACTGTACATGTATATAACTTATAAGGCCCTTTTCATGCCCAGTTTGAGAAATTAACAACTTAATAGCCTGGATATTTGGTAAGAGGGTCACCTTAACGATTCCCCATGCTTGGCAAAACCATGACATTACCCATGAATTGGCATTATTATTGGTTTTTAAATTCATCTGCCTTGCGGCTTTAGACGCTAACGGTACCCCATGTATCTGCGGAAAGGGTTAGCATGTAAGGTCACAAACTGAGGCAAGTACAATATGAGGAAAAACAATATGATACAACTGCGTTTCATTTCAAGCATTGAAGTATTACGAGACCCCTGCAATTTGACGTGGCACACATTAGCAACAAATGCCTCAAAATAATATCAAACAACTAACAGAAAGAATTACTTGAACTAAAACTAAAAAAATTGAAGAAGTAACATTCGAGAAAATAGACAAAATTAAAAGAACTACTAATAAATTTAAAGAATTATTATGAAAAAAAAACTAAGCTTGAAGAAGAACATAAATAGCAAAAGAAACTACTAAAAAGCACTGAAGAATAAAAAATAAAATAACATTTATAAATAAGAAAAATTAAAAAGCAAAAGCAGTCTAGTCAATTCAATCCTTACCTGCAAGTTGACGTGGCACACATGAGCAGCAATGACGTGCTAGCTGCTGTATGAAAAAAAGGCATACTGGTATTATATATACTGTATAGAGAGAGAGAGACGGAGATGCATGAATAAACGGAAAGAGATGAACACACTACACTAGTACAATTACCACCATAAACACATACCCATCACAACCTAACACATTCACATGTTACGCCCTCCTCGGCTAACAACAAAGTTTCCATGCCATTTAATTGGAACAACAAGAAAGGAACTACGATTTATTTCACTTTATTAATTTTTATTGTACAATATTTATACATATCAAAATAAAATACTTGTTCTTTGTGTCGATTAAATAACCTGTTGTTGTCTTTTAACCAAGCTGGTTTTCTTCCACTTCTCTTGGGTTTGCATGATGATTCGGTATCTTTTTGTTGCTCTTCTGGTAAACTGTCTTTTAAGTACGACAAGGCGTATACTGGCAATAAATTCCATGTTTGTGTACTGTTTTTATTTTTCCTGTACACAATTTGCTGTCTGTATATATTAATTTTTGGAATTTCTTTATTTGGTTGTAGTAAGACTATATGTACACCTCATTTTTCCAAAGTTCAGCAAGCTTATGCTTACCAACAAGAGCAACATTGCGCAATAGCACTTGTTCTCCAACTGACAACATATGTTCTCTCTTGATTTCTTATCATAGTGTTTCTTCTGCCTTTTGCTGCCTGCGCTTTCTTAATATGCCAACCAATAATAATTTCTGCTTTAACCTACATACAGTGAGTGTGAAGTAAAGGCACGTGCACTTTCAAGAGAACAGTCTTGTAGTAAATGATAGGTATAGCCTGGGATATCTACTAAACATCAAGAAATAAGGAGAGAAACTACCTGAACTGTTTCAATTACAGTTGTACATATGCACAAGTGAACCAGTGTGTTTTTTTCCAAATCTTTTTCTGACTTGGACTTGGCATACAGAGCATATCAAAAATGTATGATTCATACGTCACATTGCCCATTGCATGGTAAGGAGTAGTTCTGGATTTCTAAATCCCCGCTAACTGATGTAACTCACTTATTACTTTGCCTTCACTCATTACTTTGCCTTGGTCTGTGTGAATTCTACTAAGAAAACCATGGTGGCACCACTCATTTCTCAAAGAATACCTTAGCTGTTGTTCTTAGCATCTTATTTTAAGGCTTCAAGTTAAACTACGTAAATGTTTAGTGACTGAACCATTATTTGATCGTCTTGTACAAGCTTCAACTTTCTTCCAGAGTTTTACTTTCCACATCTTTCCCTCTAATTATTACCTTCTTATCACCCTTTAAATAATTGCATACATTTTTTTTCAATAGGATCTGCTTCTTGCAACTTCTGCCAATCTTTCTGCTGATTTGTCTGAATAGAAGGAGACCGTTTCTTTGGGATAATGCCTTCTGAGCAAGGAAAGACCTCAATCAATAGCTTCTGAATTTGAAAATCAGATGTAATTTCCTGCGCCCAACTTCTTCCCTCCCAATGGGAGGGAGAGAATCTGCTTTAACATTGGACTTGTCTGAAACATAAACAATATTGAAATTGTAGTTTGACAGGTCTGCAATCCAGCGTTAACTTTGTTGAATCCAACTTTGCAGATATCGGTACATGTGTTAATGAGTTGTTGTCTGTTCTCACTGTAAAGTAATTTCTTAACCTTTGTAAATAATCTAAAAATTTCTCTGTAACTGCCCATTTCAAAGCTAGGAATTCCAATATGTGAATTGAATATTTCTTTTCTGGTTTTGGGCAAACCTTAACTTGCATATGCAATGACCCTATCTTTACCGCCCTGTTTCTGATAAAGTACTGCCCCCCCCCTTCAAATCTCATGCAAGTGCTCTACTGCTGAGCTTCTAAGCCCATGTCTACCCTGGCCAGTCACTACACTCCCTCTCAAATGCCAAATGACGGAGTCCACTGTTGCCACCATCATAGCATTTTGGGAGGAAAATGCCTTACTCCACTTGGGATCGAACCCAAGTTAATATGCTTACAGTGCAAGTGCTCTACCACTGATGAGCTATCAAGCCTGGGTCTACCCCAGCCAGTCACTACAGTCCTTCCCCCCCCCCCCCACCCCACCCCCCATGCCAAAATCCCACCACTGTTTTCTGTTTTTATATTCACCAGTGTAAAGAGTTGTGTTTTTATTTCTGTTTCAGGCACTAACTGACGGGTATTACTAATATGGCATCCATGGCCACCTTCTCATGTTGTAGGCGTCCTTTAGGCTTCACAGAATACTTTTTTGCCTTGACAACTGAACTAAATATACCCTATTCACTTGCATATACATGGCAGCTAGAATCAAAATCACCTCTGTCTGTTGACCTCATCCACCAGGCTGCAGCACTGCTACAGGAAATCATGCCTTTACTACGCCTGTGTGTTGTTAAAGAGTTGGACGGCAAATATTTCTTTGAATTAAAGGACACTGTGACTGTTCCCCTTGAAGTCAGCAATGAGACAGATTGGAGAAAAGAACAGGATGAAATGATGAAGGTGGTCTACAACCTTAAAACAGGCCCTCTCTGGAAGATGCGCTTCCTTCCAACAGTTTGCAGAGAGTTGGCTTTGGGAGACACCAGAAAGGAGGGCAACCCTTACAAATCTGCTGTGATCTTTGGTATTGATCATGTACTTACTGATGGATTTACTAATATGAGTATATGTAGGCAGTTTCTAAAAATCCTGAATGGACTCATTGATGGAGGACAACCAGACAAAACTCCACACACTAAAATAGACCCATCCCTTGTAGATTTGATGCCTCAGAGTGAAAAGGCCTTTGGTTGGATGGATTATCTAGTAGTGGCAAAGTTTATTTGGAACACAATGTTTTCTAAACCGAAACCAAACATTTTTGCAGTGAGATACCCTCTAGTTGATACATACCCATCACATACATTCAGCATCTCTACAGATGGCCTTTCCAAGGAGGAAACCAGGCTCTTGAGAAAAATGTGTAGATTACAGCAGACAACAGTCAATGGGGCATTCACTGCAGCTGCAAGCACAGCCACTGCCTGGATGATATATGGCAGAAACAAATCTCAAGGCGATATTCAGGTTATAGCATCAATACATGTTTCCTAAAATTAATGGCAGTTCACTAATGACTTTATCACTTAATTTGTTTTTTTTTTATTTTGCACATTGTGATAAATAACTATGGAAAACAAACTATTCATATGTATATGAGCAAAGTATGATATTGTTCTTTTTACAATATGTGCATTTTGATATGTGGAGTAATTAACTATTTAACTGAAAAAATTTTCTCAAAAATGATTATTTCAACAAATATTTTGCAGGAGAATACAGTAGCTGTAGAGCAGACTGTCAACATGCGACGTTTCTGTGAGACGGAGGAAGGGAAAAATGCATTGGGTGTCTTATTTTTATCGACTCTAATTTCTGTGACACTGTCGCCCTCAAATGACAATCCTAAAGCTCTCTGGGATGCTGCACGAAGTACGAGTTCTCAAATGCACACAATTTTTGAAAATGGTGACTTGCTCAAGCAACTACGTCTGGCAAATTACTTTGTACAAAAAATGAAGGCTAAGGATCTGAGGAGCAATATGAAAATATGTAAGCATAATGTAGATGCTGATTTTATATCTTACAGCGAGGAAGGAAATGTATGGAAAATGGATCTTTCTAGATAGCACAACACCAATTTGTCATAGTATATGTTCTAGTAGTGCAATGTTGATTTGATAATATTTTGTCGAAGGAATTTGGTGTGGGCATGTGATTTTAAATTTTAGCAGCATGTTAAGTTATTCGAGACATCTGAACATTTATATTTGCACATAGGCAGTTTGTCTATTTTAAGCATATTCTGATATTATTTTTTGTAGCAGCGGAGCAAAGATGCTTTGCTATTTCAAACATGGGGGATTGTTCTGGAATTCTGTCAGGTAAGAAGATTTTATACACTTTTTTGATAGGAATCAATGTTTCTAGGCTTTTGTTTCAGATGCTCTGTAAGCAAAGAATGCACACCTTTTTTGTTCTCAGACTTTGTGAAAGGCCAAAATACTGTCAGACAATTTCGTTCTGACAAGCTTCAAAATTATGTCAGGCCAAAACAAAATTTGTCAGACTGAAGCAAAATTATAGAAATGTAGCAAATTATTCAATTTTTTGATGTTATCAGATTTTCCATATATTCCATATATTTCATACATTTTGAAACAATCTTAAGATAGAATATATATATATATATATATATATATATATATATATATATTGTCTTACTTAATGAAAATGGCTTCACAGAATGACACTAGGACCACTAGAAATACAGTACAAGAATGAAGAAAGTGTAATCAGTAATATCAAATGTCTGTCCATAAAATTGTCTGTTAACCAGAAAACGATTTCACCTGTTTGGCAATAACATGTGCATTGCGAAATAACATGTGAGGCAGTCCCTTTCAGCCATTTGAAGTTATGATAGGGCCTGTCCAGCGAGAGACTGAATTTTTTCATAATATGTTTTCTTTTGATAAAAAAAATGTGAGGCATCATGTGCCATTTTGCTGACTCATGGCCATGAACAGCAGATGTGCAGAAATAGTCAGAACTAGCAATAAAGAAGTTAC